TAGATTACCTAATTTATTAGAATTAATTATAGAAGTGTATGATAAACAAAAGTACCCCAAGACATAAAAGTGATTCGGAGTTTATGTAAACGACTATTTTGAAACACTTTTCATACTATTTTGATTTTTCTTCTACAAATTTATTCACATAGTTTAAATAAGGAAGAATCTAATACACAAAATCTAATTGATCTCGAAATCCTAAATATTTGGAAAATATTAAATGACTATTCACATTATTAATATTAGAGAAATAACTAAATGACTATTTTGTCTAGTATGAAATTTAATTTTAAAGGACAAAAAAGACAAACGACATTTCGCTAAGTGTTTTAGTATTTTTAATATAGATATAGATAGAGTTGCATTTAACGCTTTTAATTTGACCACGTGAGGTTTTAGTGGAGACGTATTTTGATCCAGAAGAATATTCCTAAAGCACACAAATTTGTGCTTGTAACTTCTAACTGCTTGCCATGTGATGTATATCGTTGTATTCAATTCGGTTGTATACATTATATTCAATTCAAATGTATTCGTTCTTATATATCTTACATTATATTCAATTTCAGTGTATTGAATTCAGTTGTATGTATTCAATTCGACTATATTCATTCTTAACTATTTTACAGCGTATTCAATTTCATTGTATCCAGTTCTACTGTACTCAAACAATAAAAAATCACAAAAAAGTGATATTCGGCTGATTCGATTTACTGTATTCATTCGTAGCTGCTTTTACATTATATTCAATTTACTGTATTTAATTTGGTTGTATTCAGACAACACAAATTCAAAAAATACAAGGATCTGCCACAAAAAATAATCTTCGAAATACATAAATACAGGCAAAATACAAAAAAAAAACTAAATTGTAGTTGCATTGAAAAATACATAATAGACTCAAATTTGAGTGTATTTATACAAAATATAATGTATTTGTATTATTGTATGTGACTCATAGCAAAGAAGAGAAGAAAGTTCATCGGAAATGACGGCTTCCGGCCAAGGAAAATACTGTGTACATTGTATTAAAACAAAAAAATGGAGACGAACTAAAATCCGGCCATATCTGAGAATATACTATCACATTGTATATACCAAAATTCGGCCAGACGAACAAAAATCATGCCATAGTGTGTATTTTGTTGTATTTAATTCGACCACAAGAAATAAAATATACTCAAATCTGAGAAATACACTCAGATATGAGAAAATACATACTATCTGAGAAATCCAATCGGTTGGCCATGGATTCCAGCCAGAGATGTGGCGGCGGTGGAGGTAATGACGAGGCTGATCTAGATTGAGAATTTTGATGTACTAAATTGAGGAATTTTCATAGCGCGTGAGATATGAGAGTGTACAAGGAGAGAAAAAAATAAAAAAGGAGGTCAGACGGCAGTGTTCCAGCGGGTTAGGCCGGCGGTGATTTTTCGACGAGATTGTAACACCAGAGATAGAGAGTTTAATGGAGATGGGAGGCGCAACTAGGCTATAGTACGAAGATGGAAGGAGGAAAAGAGAAAAAAGTTACTTTTGGGTTAGAAATCCCTTAGAGAGGGTTTTTGCTATAAAACCCAATATGTAGCTATGTATTATAATTAGTTTAAAGTGCATTTATTTATGATAAATATTGTGTATAATATAGTTATACCATGTAAAATTTTCAATTATTTACAATCGGTCGCCGAAAAAGTGTATAAAATTTATATAATTTATATAATATATATATATATATATATATATATATATATATATATATATATACACAAAATATATATTTCTCAACTATTATTTTAAGAGCGGATATACAATGTCATTTTCCCTTTTTAATTGCTAGGTGTAAATCAAAAGGGAATAAGTCAACAGCTCTTGCAATAGAATAGAAATAAGACCTTTATATTGGCACTTATCCCTTTGACACAAAAAGAGAAAAAGAAGTAAAGGCACAATTCGACCATATTCTCATGCAGTTGCATGTCAAAAACTAGGAAAAAGTCCACTCCACTGTCTTATACTGAATCCGTGTTTTGTTTTCACCTTCAAGAAACGGTCAATTCCTCCAAACACCAAACAACAAATAGCTTAACTGCTTGGGAAACTCGACCCCAACCAGGCACCCACCCCACTCGGTTAGGTCAGAGGAAGAAGAAGCATATGCTCCGAAGACTTAACTAAACTCAATATTTTTGACATAAAATTAAATAAATTAAATTTTAAACTTATAATTTTAAAAGTACAATAAATTTCACTCTAAAAATTTAACTTTAGAAATACAACTCATCAAATTTAAATCCTAATTGTTTATGAATTAGTACCTTTTACATCTTCGCGTAGCCTATACGTCAGTCAATTTCCCCGTTCACTCTCACCAAATCTTATCAACTCCACATTGCATAATCCTTGCAAATCATGGTTCAGTATGTATGTTCCATCATGGCCTTATTTCAATATGTCTCTATAAATATTCGGCAATTACTTGAAAAAATTAACACATGATCAGTTAATCCCTAACAACTGATCGCCTTTTCCTTCACAACTTATTACACTTTAACGTCTATACAATGGATAGTTTATTTTATACACCTAGAAACTGCGTTAGTTTTAGAAAAAAGAGATGGGGTAAGGTGTTCTAATTTCCTAAGAACTTGCTTTGAGTTTGATTCTTTCGCAAGGATTACATATTGCAATATTTAAGCAAAGTTTGGTGAGGAGAGAAGAATGTTGAATTGTCATCAGCTAGGACAAAACAGAAAAAATGAGGCAACTGCAAAGAATTTTATATCTTCCAAGGAACGACTAGGCTTTAAGCACCATACAAGTAAATGAATTTTACAACAATATTATGAGCTTTCTTTAACTCACACAAACAATATACTCCAATACCAACCAATCCAAACGTGCAGATCATTTTAACTCCACCTATTTCCTATCAAGCAAATGGAGATAAAGATCTATCTATATATTTCATTTGGCCAGAAGAATCCACAGTTGTTGTTCTTAATAGCCAATGTCTGCAATCAGTCTAGGGTTTATTGGCTTATCGATATATTCGTTTTCAGCAGCAATCCTACCTGAGCCACGTCCAGTCATTTTACCAAAAGATCTCACTGCAGATAAGCCCTTAAAACTACTACTTCCCTCACTGAAGTTTCTTGACCTCCTAGACTTCCTAATCTTGGAGGAGTAGATATCATGGCTTGTGTCTTCATCCTTTTCAAACTTGATAACTTGCAATTGTACAATTCTACTACGGCAGAATGGGCACAGAGGTTCGGTAGGACTAGTCGTAGTAGTATTAGGCTTGCTATGACAGCACAAGGCCAGTATGCAATGTGCACACATCTGGTGCCCGCACTCCTGCACCTGAATTGTGCATAATTGATCAAAGCATATACAACAAACTTCTGTGTCACTCACCTGCAATTAGACACATAATTCCTAGTGAGTACCAAAGACTTGAAGCTATAAGCAGATAGCTCTAAGCTAAAACTAGCTTAGCAGCTAACCAAAGAGTATACTAAAGAGAAAAATATGAAATGCCTTCGCGTTTAAAACATGCACACAATAGTTTGACATTTTGAAATGAATTCAACACACTTGAGTACTTCATAGATTTATGAGAGGTAATTACCTCAGAGATATTACCATCCATCCCATCATCAGAATTGATTGCCGAATAAGCTGTTCCTTTTAGGATATTCTTTTCCCTCTCCTTGTTAACCTCCATCAGGGCGCGTTCTAGCAAAGATTTTGCCTCTTCATTGAGCTCACTGACGAACTTCAATGACGATGGCCAGACAAGAGGCTCTGCGGATGAAGGATTCAGCAAAACCGCGCACGCACCATGTTTGTATCTTAAAGCAACCGTGAATGGTATTCTCCTGTACCACAATCATTACATGGCATATTTAGATAACCAACAAAATGAACTATGGTGGAGTCACACAAAGATTATATTCAGATTCACTATTATTAAGCTAGATCAACTCAGAATAAATTGAACAACAGGGAAATTTACTCGTTAATCAAAGTTCAGGACTCTAAACTTTGTTTAATAAAAATTGAAAAGATCAACAGAGAAAAAGAAAGATACCCTGAATCATCTCTGTGTAATCGATCTGCTCCCCAGGCTAACAATTCGCGGACGCAATCAAGAGAACCAGCTCTTGCAGCCAAGTGAAGTGGTGAGCTACCGGGGAAACTGTTTTATGTTTGAAAAGAAATTTTAAGAAAAACAAAAAAAAACATAGCTATAAAATATAAAATCCAAGCTTAAAAAGCACAATTCACTAAGAATAAAAAGGAAAATGAAATCTTGGACAGGATGATTACCCGTATCCACCAGTTGAAGCATAGACCAAAGCACCATTGTCCAGTAAAAAATGAACACATTCAGGCCGTCTTTGACGGGCTGCTAAGTGCAACGGTGTTGCTCCCTTACCATCTTTAACGTTCACAAACCGGGCATATCCCCTAAAAGTTTAATTCCAATACAGCAACTTAGAACAATCAATAGAATATACAACGTAAAAAAAAAAAAAAAAAAAAAAAAAAAAAGTGAATTCTCATAGAGGCTTTTACCAGGAAGATGCGACCATAATAGGCAGCATAGTGTAAGCATGTTCTTCCATTAAGCGAATCAAACATCAAAATCTGATCAATCATTATATTCACCATTAGGCCCATGAATTTTCAAAAGATACTTCACTTATATAATAGAGAGAAGAGGTCGTTCTTGCCAAGATAAATTTGCAAAAAATATAACAAGGGTCCTAAAATGTAACGACCCGTCCGGTCGTTTTGAGAGTTGTAGCCCCATTCCCCTATTTACTGCTCATTCTGTACTTTATAGTTGTATTGTGACTTGCCGGGGTAGTCAGTTCGAGTCCGGAGAGATTTCGGAATGAATTGAGACACTTAGTCTCAAGGTTGAAAACTTAAGTTGAAAAGGACCGGTTATTGACTTATGTGTAAACGACCCCGGAATAGAATTTTGATGATTTCAATAGCTCCGTATGGTGATTTTGGACTTAGGAGCGTGTCCGGAAAATTATTTGGAAGTTTGTAGTTAAATTAGGCTTGAAATGGCTAAAATAAAAATTTAAGCTTGAAAGTTTGACCGGGGAGTTGACTTTTTGATATCGGGGTCGGAATCCGATTCTGAAAATTTGAATAGGTCCGTTATGTCATTTATGACTTATGTGCAAGATTTGAGATCAATCGGACTTGATTTGATAGGTTTCGGCATCAAATGTAGAAGTTGGAATTTCTTAGTTTCATTAGGCTTGAATTAAGGTATGATTTGTGATTTTAGCGTTGTTTGATGTGATTTGAGGCTTCGACTAAGTTTGTATGATGTTTTAAGACTTGTTGGTGTATTTGGTTGAGGTCCTGGGTGCCTCGGGTGGATTTCGGATGGTTAATGGATTGAAATTTGGACTTAAACAGCTGCTGGAATTTTTCTGATGCTTGTATCTGGTTTCCTTCATCGCGTTCGCGAGAGGAATCTCGCGTTCGCGAAGAGAAAATTTGGACTGGCCCATTTGTGCTTTGCGTTCGCGACCGAGGGCACACGTTCGCGAAGGGTCGAGGGGCAAAGCTACGGGTTCGCAATCAAGGCCTCGCGTTCGAGAAAGGGAAAGCCGGCCGGGGGAAAGTGATCGCCGCGTTCGCGAAAGAGGAAATCCGGGCAGCATAATTTTGTGCTTCGCGAACGCGAGGAAGCTTCCGCGTTCGCGAAGAAGAAACCACTGGACAGAAAGTTTAAGTTCTCATTTTCCATTTTTACCGATTTGGAGATCGGAGAAAGGCGATTTTTGGGAGATTTTCAAGGAAAACAATAGGGTAAGTGTTCTTAACTCAATATTGGTTAAATTACCCGAATTCATGGTTGTTTTTAGCATTTAATTGGTGAATTAAGTTGGAAAATTTAGAAAACCCTCTTGGTTTAATTTGAAGATTTGATGGTCGAGTTGATGTCGGAATTAGGTAAAAGTGGTATGATTAGACTCGTGGTTGAATTGGCTTTCGGATTTTGTAACTTTTGTCGGGTTCCAAGACGTGGCGATTTTTGAGTTAAATTTCGGATTTTTGTTGGAAAATTTGTATTTTCATATGAAATTTGTTCCTATAATTTGTATTGACTGAATCAAATTAATTGTGATTAGATTCGAGCCGATTGGAGTCGGAAAATCGAGGGAAAGGCTTTCTTATTGACTGATTGAGCTTGGCTTGAGATAAATGGCTTGTCTAACCTTGTTTGGGGGAAATCCCCTTAGAATTTGATACTGTTGTAACATTTTGTGATATGTGAGCGCCGTGTACGCGAGGTGACGAGTGCGTACACGGGCTAAATTTGAAAATATTGGTTCTTACTGAGTAATTTTCTTTTAAATTCTTTAACTGAGTTGCTTTAGTATATGTAGTGATCATGTTTAGCCTAGTATCACATGTCTACGTGCCTTAACTCTTACTTGCCATATGTGCAACATGCTTAGCTGAATTACCTGCTTCCTCGATTTAATTCAAATCTTTAACTGTGAGATTCTTGCTGTAAATTCGTTGTTTCCCTTCGGATATCTGTTGCATATTTATTTTGGGACTACGAGGCGGTTACTCGGGAGATCCCCTGTACTGCATATTTACTTTTGGGATTACGAGGCGGTTCCTCGGGAGATCCCCTGTACTGCATATTTACTTTTGGGATTACGAGGCGGTTCCTCGGGAGATCCCCTTTACTGCATATTTAATACGAGGCGGTTTCTCGGGAGATCCCCTGTACTGCATATTTACTTTTGGGACTACGAGGCGATTCCTCGGGAGATCCCCATACTGCATATTTACTTTTGGGATTACGAGGCGGTTCCCCGGGAGATTCCCTGTACTGCATATTTACTTTTGGAACTACGAGACGGTTCCTCGGGAGATCTCCTCNACTGCATATTTACTTTTGGGATTACGAGGCGGTTCCTCGGGAGATCCCCTTTACTGCATATTTAATACGAGGCGGTTTCTCGGGAGATCCCCTGTACTGCATATTTACTTTTGGGACTACGAGGCGATTCCTCGGGAGATCCCCATACTGCATATTTACTTTTGGGATTACGAGGCGGTTCCCCGGGAGATTCCCTGTACTGCATATTTACTTTTGGAACTACGAGACGGTTCCTCGGGAGATCTCCTCTACTGCATATTTACTTTTGGGACTACGAGGCGATTCCTCGGGTGATCCCTTGTACTGCAGATTTACTTTTGGGACTACGAGGCGGTACCTCGGGAGCGCCCTTGTTGTTTACCTCTAATTGTTGTGTTATTATCTTTCTGTATATTTCATTTATTTCTCGGTCACTTCATTACCCTATTATAAATTTCTGCCTTATTTATTATTATTTCCAGTAGGGTCTGACCTGACCTCGTCACTACTCTACCGAGGTTAGGCTTGGCACTTAATGGGTACTGCTGTGGTGTACTCATACTACGCTTCTGCACATCTTTTTGTGCAGATTCAGGTACTTCCTGTCAGACCAGGTATTAGTGAACTAGCTGTACACGGAGACTTCAAGGTACATCTGTCAGCGTCCGCAAACCTCGGAGTCCCCCTCTATCCTTATTATGTTGTCTTCCTGATTTCTCTTTAGACTCTAATATATTGAGACACTCACAATAAATTCTTAGAAGCTTGTGACCTATTTCTACCGGATTTTGGGAGTCGAAATTATTGGACTGCAGTTTTATATTTATTTCATATGTTGAGAATTTGGCTTCAGTTTTATTTTATGTATTTCTGCAAAAATTGTTAGGCTTACCTGGTTTTAGAGACTAGGTGTCATCACGACATCCTACGGAAGGTGAATTTTGGGTCGTGACATAAAATTAAAGAGTAAACAGATAAAAAAAAAAAGAGAGGGTAGAGTGGCATACATTAGCCCCTGCTTCAATAAGCTTTTGCACACAAGAGAGCTTCCCGTGCATGGCTGCCAGCATCAATGGAGTCTAAAGCAATAAACAGCACAATCAGGAGAAATTAAAAAATGCTTAAGAGCTGCTCAATGCAATCAGAAATCAGAAGATCACATTTTTTAAAGGAAAAAAGAAGGAGAAGGGAAGAAGTGATCAATTCTAGAGGAATTTGCGAAAATGAAACGAAAAGCTCAAATTTTCGTCTTTTTCTTCCATCAATTAGAAATCAATCAAACAAATAAGGAAGAAAAATGCAATAATTAATACCTGCTTATACCGATTCAATAGATCAGGATTGACGGACTGGTCTATAAGCATAGAAACAACCTGAAAGAACATCTAAACCCATAAATCGTACAATTAAGAACATAAAAGTTTCAACAAAAGCATACCCCGTAAAAAGGATTAAAACAAAACTTTTTCAAGAACCCACCTCAATCTGGCCATTGGCAGCAGCAATATGTAAAGCAGACTGGCGATCATAAATTGTAGAATGGTGAACAAGACTCGGGTTTCTCTCCATCAGAGCCTTTACAGTCTCTAAATCACCACATTGAACAGCACTGAATAGTCCATGTTCATCACTTGCTCCACAACTGAGTCCCTGACCCATTCTTCTCTCACCCCTTCACTATCACTTTTATAATAAAAATCTGAACTTTATTCTGCTTTGAGGGAAAGGAGGAGGCCCCTTTGCACCACCGTGGACGGAGGTGGTGAACGGTGGTTGGTGGTGGTGGCAGAATTGGAAATTGTGAGAGTCTGCAATTCTGCATATTTATGGAGTTCCAAGGAGAAAATGAGAGGTGGGATGTGTGAGTATTGAAGTCTGGAGCTGCCCGCAAAAGCGACGGCGGGGAATAGCGGGCAGCTGAGAAAGTGAAATAGGAGCAGTAAACGGGCAGCTGTCAGATTCTTTTCGGGCAGTTGGATTCTTAAATAATTATAACAGCAATATCAATGGCGTTGTATTTATGGGAATGAGTCAGTCAAACTTTTTACTGTTACTGATTGGTCTCCTGCCAAAGTTATCAGGATTTCCACATTTGGAGAAAATTCTCGAAGGGCAAGAAAATTGTCTCCGATCCATAATTCTTTGGTCGGGGAAATAAGAAATAAAAAAGAAAACAAATACAAGTACATTATAGAAGTCGTTTATTTTCTTATTTTTGCTTCGTTTGAATATGTTTTGGTTAGTTTTTGTTCAAATATGAGTAGTTAACGCTTTTACATGGTGAATTTTTTTATTTTCTAATATTGTTGTATTTGTAAATAATAATTCTGGAAAATATAAGTTATCGTAATGAAACCGTAATTAATTCGAGCTCACTGAATTCATAGTGTTTCCTTAAGGAATTTAATCCCCTTCTAGTACCCAAGGTTATGGATTATTTCCTCCCAGGATAGAACGAATCATACACTGGTGTAGCGGTACTTCAAACCCCAGTGTTTTAGCGAACACACTTACAGTTGCTTTATTTGAAGTTAAAACAATGCAGAACAATGCAGAACAAAGGAGTAGAAACTCAAAAAATCGTATGGAAATGCTGAGAGGAGAGAGTGCAATGTTTCAACTGCGGCGCGAGGCTTGCTTTCTTCTTAACTCTTTAAGAGCTACAAGAAGAGCAATTATATATATACCCACCAAAAATCTTTTTCTCTTCCAATATGGGACAATGTCTCATTGTCAAGAGGGGGAAACTTAAAATTTTACTCAAAAATTTCATTTTCCCTCTATTTCCAATTCACCCTCATTTTAAGACTATTTCATCTTAAATAACAAAAACCTCAACAAAATTTATAGAGTGGCAAGGTGCTCATGTGGTGAGTGACACCAATTTAACATTTCAATGATTTGTATTTTTAAGTAATTCCACATAATTTAATTATTGTAATTTGTCTTTTATAATTTTTCCATTGTCGTCGACTTTAAAGCACAATGTCAAAATTTTGAAGTATATTTATCAGAATTTTTTTGCATACTGCTAGAATTTAGATAAAGTTTATCCGAAAAAAAGCAATTAGGAACGAGGAGCCCCATAATTAGAAGTAATGCATCTTTGTCAAAAGAAACCAAATTGAAATGCGTCTAGCTTCAACATAGAGGAGGGAAGATTTTAGATATTTCTTAACTTATTTTCTTTTTTGGTAAATATATTTCTCAAACTTGAAGAAAAGATATTCCATCTTTGTTTGTTAATTTATAGAGGATGTTTTAGCAACCAAAAATATTTGTTCCTCCTATCACAGAATCATTTTAATAGCAATAAATTCTAACAGCTTCTCTAATCTATTGCTGAAAGTGTAAGCAAAAGTTTTGGGGCAGCTGTATGTTGTTTTTGCCAAGGCTAGCAGTAGCAAATGCTTGATGCCATTTCGTTTTTACGCAAACAAGAGTATGCGGTACCAAAAGGGTCAACACGGTAAGTAAATTCGTTTCTTGTCCATTACTTGCTAGTGACAAAGCATTACCTTTCACCCTACAGTACAAAGCATATTGCTTTACATTTATGGTCTTAAAACATAATAGGCTTTCACCAAATAAAATTGGGGAATATTTTGAGTTCATTCTACATATGCTTGTCGAATTCTATTGTTCTTTTTTTTCACTTGGTATTTAGTATTTATTTGGTGCCCCGACTAATTTAAATTCGCACCGAATAGCACTGCTTTGGCAGTTAAAATGATCCCTACCAAAGGCGACTTCACAATTAGGCTTGAACCTAAAATCTCTACCACAACTTTTGATTGGGTTTTTGAATTTTACTCATTTTAACAGTAAAATAATAAATTGGACTGTCATTTTTGCTTTCGTTTTCTTTTTCATTTTATTATCTATACTATATTAAAATCACGAAGGTTTTTAGCGAAATGTCGTTCGTCTTTTTTACCCTTTTAAAATAGAGTTCACACTAGACAAAATAATCATTTGATTATTCTCCTAACTAATATTTAGGAATTTTAAATTAAATCAAATTTATTACTTATTAATTTTTTCCTCAATTGAATTAACTAGAAATCCTTATAATTAGGACTTTAAAATCATTAAAGTTTTACCTTATATAAATTTTACAATTAAAGTATGATTAAATAACACCAAATCTTTATGCGTATGATTTTTTTTTTCACTTGGACGTGTTTTAGTGCAAAACAGATTGAACAATTGTGCTAAATTTTAGGTGAAAAATTATGATGTAAACAAAATAAAATAAAGAAAAACTAAAGAAAAAGGAAGCATTTTGCTTGTCCTTTGTTCCAAATTAGTAATTAACCTAGAAATACTAGGGGTATTCTATGTGAGATTGGTCCACTAACTATTAATTTTATTTTTCGATCAATAATTTATTTAGATATAAATATTAATATAGATTTTAAAACATAATTATAAAAAATAATTACGAAAATATTAATAATAACAAGAGAACAAGAGAAAGAAAAGTGATTGACAAAAGTCATTTACTAACACTACGACAAACATAAAATGCAAAAGTTCAATATTTTATCATTTGACAAAATATTTTTTGTGGATAAAAATATAGTTATCATTAAATACTTAATATATGGTATGAACTAATATTAATAATTTGAATCCTCAATAAATAAATTATTTCTTTTAGTAATTGAAAAAGATAACTAAGTATTTGAATTAAAAGAAATCAGAATATAAAACAAAATTAGTTATAGTATTAATAATTAAATTGGTTAAAATGCAAACTTTATTTAAGAAATAAGGATGAAATAAATAGAAGATAAAATGTATTCATAAAGAGATGTCAGGTGAGACACAATTTAACATATTTGTATATCATATTACTCCTTTTATTTCAATTTAAATGATACATTTCGCTTATTGAGTATCAATTTAACTAAAGTTTGAAGCTATATCAAATTAGTTCAATTTAATATTTTAAAATTAAAATTTAAATATTCAAAAACTATAGGAGAAATACTATAAGTTATATTTTTTCTCATTTCAATATAATAATATTTTAAAATGTTGGTCAAACGTCACGTATTTTGACTCTCGATAAGCGAAATGTGTCATTTAAATTGAAACGAATGGACTATAAGATACGTATAATTATAAAATAATGTACAACTAATTTAACTAAATTCATCATCTATGCATATTCAAAAGATATTGAATATAATTATTATGTTAGTGTGAGAAAAATTATTTTCATCATTAAACAAATATTACATTTTATTTTAACGTCAATGTATATATTTTTAATTGATAGACATTATACACACGTGCAACGTACATATACTAAAACTAGTTTTCACCGCTTGTATTTGAGATTACAAAAATTACTAGTAACATCCAACATGTCGGTGTAAATCACTTGTAGAAGTCTCAGATTATAGAAATAAAAGATGGAGCACTAAAAATTTATTTATTTGGCGAAAAGCTTTGGTCAAATGAAAAGCGTGGGAATATAACTAAGTCATGTATTGGCATGAAGGGACAAAATGCTTCTCTGTTTAGTAACACGCTTCCGATTAGGTCATCGGCATAATTATGTTCAGTTATTTGAAGTTTAATAGTAACATAAAACAATTAACATGAGGTCCTTTTAATAAAATAATATTTCTCCCTTTCAGCATTCAGCATTCAGCAATCCGTGTGGCTAACCATCCTTGAATAATTAAATCACCGCGCTTCCTCTTGCTTTTATATTCTTTTTTTTCTTTTAATTATGAGATTTTTCTTCTAGTACTGTAGTCCTATCCTTGTGTGTACAATACTTGTTTACCCGTAAAACGGTACAATTGAACTTGTAACGTAGTTTATAAACATGTGAATTAAATTAATCGGATAAAGTAAGATAACAAATTACAGACAGAGTAAATAAAGATAATTGAAGAAGAAACAAGCCCGGACTTTCAGAATATTTCCGTCGGGATCAAGAATAATTAGAAAATCTTGACAACACATGTATAAAGCTTAATAGAACAAGAGAAAGAATACTAGTCTTTTGTTATCAGTATTTCTTGATCTCTTTTAATAGAATGAAAGCTTCTATTTATACTAGAGCCATGGGATGTATGGTCTACCAATTATGTCTCATATCATTGATATTAATGCTACAATAAAAGGTAATAAAAAGGTGATAAAGAATAATAAAGGGTAATGAAGACTAATAAAAGTTGGAGGAATCTTGGGGTCTTCTGTAACGGTCATATCTTGAATTGCTTCTTATTCGATCATATATTTGTATCCGGTGTAAACATGGTTGAATCACTGCTAATTGACACGTGTTGCTTCCTAATTCACTCATCTTCTAAGACCAGTTTTTATCGTATATAGATAGTCCCCTCACTTTCCGGTTACTCACTATGATGTAACCAGGAAGTGGAAGTTTTTTCCAACCCTCATTATTGCCTTATTAAAAATCATGCGGGCAAAATCCAATCGGGACAAAAATAGGGCAAAGGAAAAAAGAGTACAGAACTCAGTGATTCAGATGATAACTCTACCACTTATTATTCTTTCGATGATGACCGGTTGGCGCTGAAGAAGTACCACCATCACATAAAACTTGACCTCGGATTTTCAGTGTTCACCCAGAACTTTTAATCTTTGAATTTTGATTCTTGAGTTTTTAGTTACACTCAAAAAAATTTCTTTGAGTTTTGACTTTTGGGTTTTTTTTAGTTGAACCAGAAAACTCTTATAACCTCACAGTTTTAGAGACCAGGGATGTAATGACCAGGAATTTATACTTATGGTTTTGATAAAGTCTGAAAATTTAATGCATTTGGTTAATTTTGTAATCGGGAAACAAGGCATCCGACCTTTAACCTGTTAATTTGATGGCTTTCTAAGAGACGACTCTTATTTTTATGGTATTTATGAAGAGGACGTCTCCTGTTCACCCAGACACAATTGTTCGAATTTGTAATCCCTTTG